TAGACATGATTCAAGTGAAGCATGACCAGTTCCATGAAAGTGAAGATGCAGTGAAATCTTTCTTTTGAATATGTTCTTTTAGGAACTTGCATTTAACGGTTATATACAGGTTTAGATGTAAAACATGAAGCAAAAATTGGGATAAAATTGTGAATAATCTGAATAGAACAGGTTAGCATTTCGGTTTCATCAAGGCAGATATGCTTTTACCGGTATGTAGAAAGGAACAAGGACAAGTGCAGCTGTATTATGAGAGAAAAGAAGCCCTGATTGCTTTGTACAGTATCTGTTTCTAAGTCTGTCCCCCAAAATCTTATCTCTTAATAAGTTATCAAAAATAGTTTTTAAATTAAATCAAGGTGACTAACATAGAAACTCTTTCGGAAACTATTTTGGATGTGGGGTGGTGATTGGAGAAATAACTGAATATAAAATCGCTTACAGGTCTGGTTTAAGAAAAGGTAGCTATACTGCGCACCATTTTCATATTGAATCTAGACATTTAATTTTTTTTTTTTAATCCAACTCGTTTGATTTCAGCAGGATATGGAACATCTTTTATTAATTGGTTCTATATCTCATTCTCTGAAAAATACATCTAAACATTTATTTCTCTGTACATGTCTATCATTATTCCCTCTGTTTTCCATCCACCCGTTGGTCCATTATCTATCTGATGATGGACATCTATAGGGCTGAAATAATTAATTGGATTAATTGATTATTCAAACAATTGTCAACTAATCATTAACTGGTAGTACAGAGACTGTAAAATGTGATTTAGCTGACTGAGTGACCCACTTAGAGCAGTTATTATATCATAATTGTAAAAATAATATATAAACATTTTACATTTAAGATAAGAAAAAAAAATTTTTTCGTCTGTCAATATGCTCTATCCAGAACTCCTCAAGTGGTAAGGTTTTAGTTTCAACTGGTTAAATTTAGTTTAAAATCTTCTTTAAGGAAACTTTTTCCTATTGGATTATTAATCGATAAGTCGAAAAAATAATCATCAGATTAATCGATTTGCAAAATAATAGTTAGTTGCAGCCCTAGACTTCTATCTGGTCTTCTGGCCTTCTCAGAGGTTTCACATCAAGCCTGAACACTGTAGAAATTTCGACCATAATTACATAGTGAGTTTATGTATTTATAGATAAACATGTGGCCTGTTTTAGGAGTTTATTATTTTAAATAATTTTTTTAAGCATGATTGTGAAGAAATCTCTGATTTTAATTTGTTCATTTTCATAGAATTTTTATTTCTTATTATTTTTACTATGTTAAAAGTTATTTCTTTAACCATTGTGAGTTTTTCTTTCCTTAAACAAGGACTACCAACAATTTTGTCCATGTGTGCATTTTTTAATTCGGGCTAAAAAAAAACCTAACAAATCTAAGAACATGGTGTTTAATTTTGATATAAAAGGTTTGTTAGAATCCGGATCTGTGGGTTTTCAATGTTAAATATTTTGGCTAAATAAGCTAAGAATGATTTTTTATTTTTTTTTTACAGGGTGAGCCACCAGCTAAAAAGGGCAGAGTAAATCCACAGGTCTACATGGATATAAAGATCGGAAACAAGCCAGCAGGAAGACTGCGCTTCCTCCTCCGGGCCGACATTGTTCCAATGACAGTAGGTCTGTAAACGTTGTTAAATACATTTTTTCAGGCCTGACTCATAATCCAGTGAATGTTACCCTTCTTTCTCTCTTAATATAAAATAAGTTATTTTTTTTCCTGTTTGTGGCATTTTAATGTTTTTATGCTAATCTGTTTTAGCCTATATTTATTAAATATAAGATCTCTATTTGATTTGAACTGAACTGACCAAAGCACGGGGTAATGTCTAGGTAGCGTCAGACTGATTAAAGCTCAGGAATAAAGGTGGGCTTTTAGACGCCTCCAGATTCCAACACCAACATGTAAAAAATGACTCTATCCTGTTAGAACCTTTGATGTTACAGGAAAGGAAAACTTATGGTTCCAACAGCTTTAAAATGAAACTATGAGTGAAATATAAATGTTATTAATAACATTTCATGTATTTATTTTAAATAGAGAACTTCCGCTGCTTATGCACACATGAAAAGGGCTTTGGCTACAAGGGCAGCAGCTTCCATCGCATTATCCCTCAGTTCATGTGCCAAGGAGGAGACTTCACCAACCACAACGGCACCGGCGGCAAGTCAATCTACGGTCGAAAGTTTGATGACGAGAACTTCGTCCTCAAACACACAGCTCCAGGTAAAGGGTCTGGCACTAAGCCTTTTTTTTCTTTGATCCAAATCATTTTGGACTGAGGGTTTATGCCCGTTCACACAGGCCAGCTCTCCATGGCTAACTCTGGACCAAACACAAATGGCTCTCAGTTCTTCATCACAACGGACAAAACGGACTGGCTGGATGGGAAACACGTGGTGTTCGGAGATCTGGTGGAGGGGCTAGATGTGTTACGTGCAATGGAAGTGAGTAAAAAAGATATTTTAATCTGGAAAGAACAGCAGATGCCTTTAGTGCATGTGCTTTAATGTAAATCGATTATTCAGAAAACAAACCCAGACTTTGTTTTCCTCTTGCAGGCTCAGGGGACGAAGGATGGAAAGCCAAAACAGAAAGTGATCATCTCAGACTGTGGGGAATATGTCTGATCAAGTTATACACTCTGTTTGTTTGTCTCTGAGATGCCGATGTTTTTCTACAACCAAGAGTTTTCATGGCCATTCTATTTCGTTAACAGCCTCCTCTGTTGTCATGTAAATATGTCAGTAAACTCATTTTTTAAAATAAAATCAAAACTGAATAAACATTTTTAAGCAAATGGTGGCTACGCACTCTATGAATGCTTGGGTTGCATTTTCTGTACACAAAAAAATGAAAAACGTGTCCTATAAATATTTTATTTACATACCAATGCGTAAATATTTGTCTTTTTCAGCCTTTAAAAAAGGAGAAATGTTTTTGTTTTCTTTAATTGAACATGAAGTCTTTTAAATTGTCATATACGTTTAAAGACCTTTTTTCGCCACTACTTTAAAAAATATGTAATATAATTGTGTCCCACATACATTTTTACCACCCTTTCACACAGACTTGTTCATAATAAATGCTCTAAGACACTTTTATTTTTATTTAAACTATGGTTGGTGATATTTTCCTGCGATATTGCATAATGTGGAGTTGCTCATTATGAGAGCAACTGTGGCTGTGCTGTAATAGAAGTTCATGTTACTTTCATGCTTTGTGTCAAGTGGGTTTGCTTACAAAGAGATTACAAAGAGGTACTCTGGCTTCTCCAACAATCCAAAAACTAGACTGTTGGGTTAACTGGCTTCTCTAAATTCTCCTTAGGTGTGAGTGTATGTAACCTGTCCAGGGTGTACCCCCCCTGTAGACAGCTGGAGATGGGCACCAGCACCCCTCGCGACCCCAGCTGGGATAAAGCGCGATGGAGAATGGATGGATGGATGATATCACTACCTAAATCACATACTGCAAACTTTATTTCTATATGATGCAGATTTTTACATCAATCTGTAAATTCTTTGAAACACTGAGCAACATTCTAGTTTTGCTGAGGTAAAACACTTCTTACATTTCCTTTGGTGTAGAAATGGTGTAACAAGATTGTGGCCCGTGTACTAAAGACATTATACTACGAGAAATTCTAATGCTGATGTGTGCTGGAGCTTACCTGGTTTCTCATTGGTCCTTTGGATCTATAACCTTTTTTTTCTTAATTCAGTTTGACTAATTATTTAAAAAGATAGGATTCCAGTTTTCATCTGTTTTTTTCAAAACAAATTAAAAAATACTTTTACAGCTGAATTTATCAGTTTTTCTTCAGTTCTAATTCTGATTTTAAAGAAAACTTTAACCCCTAGAACCCTACGGACCCACTGGTGGTTCCAGCTGCCACGTGACCTCGTAATTTTAACAAACCCCCAGTATTGATGTAAAAAACACATTTGGCACAGTTTGGTGACATTTTTGGATAAATGTGCCAAAATGGCCTCTCTCCGCCTAAGAAATTTCTCACTAATACCATTCTAAAATAAATATGATTCATCTGATTGAGTCCAAATTTGGTATATTTTTACACAACATTTAGATTTAAAAGTCTGTACTACTTTTTTGTGCTATAAATAATATTTTGGTAGTGTTTTGCAATGTTTATTTAAAAGAAAATTTTGGCGAGGTTCAAAAAATGCAAAATATTTTGTATTTTGTCCCTAATATTTCAGGCAGGATCAAAGCTACAATGGTGCTGACACCAGAAAACCATTCTATGACATCTTACCTTTACAGACGTACCAAAAGTTTCTTCTTAAATCTAATAGCTGTGAGGCTATAAGTTATTTACTTTTGTGTGTTTTTGTCAGGCAGAAATGTATTATATATTATACCCCCTTAGGGTGTAAGAGGTTAACTTAAGTTAAAGATATACAAAATCCCTAAATGTTGAATGCATATTGACCTAATATTCCAAATAATAGCTTTATTTGATCTTTTTTTTTTTTTTTTTTATAGCTACAATTTCCTTGCTTGAGTTGCTTTTTTGCTACGCTAAGGGATCTTTTATTTTGATTTTACCGATAATCCAAATTAACATTTTTTAAACCAAAAATACATATTTTCAGTTAGACATCAGGTGTATTTGAATACCTCTATCGTTTTTTTTTTTTGTTTGTTTTTTTTTTTTTGCTTCATGCTTTTCTGTGGCCCCCTGGAACATTTGGTCTAGAACCGCCTCTGTATATATATATATATATATATATATATATATATATATATATATATATATATATAACCGTATATTTGAAAATATTTACTCTTCTTTTTCTCTGTCTTTTTCACTTTAACAAAATTCAATAAAATAAAAACACTTTGGATAGCTTGTTTCTGATGGTGTTTTACATAAAAGTCTGGATCCTGACAATAGATCCTTTCAGCTGTGCCGATCCATGGCTGTTGATTGGTCCAACAAGTTTTGGCTGGTGGAGCCACACCTGGGCAGGCTGAGCGCACCGGAGCTATGGCAGGCTGTCCGATCCTCCCCTCTTTAGGCTCCGCTCCCATCGGGGGAAGTAAATCTGCTGAGATTCTCATCGGGCTGCTGCTGCGCTCCACCTCCGACTGTTCCCCACTTTAAACTGTGAGTACTTTTAAACAGATTCGATCGGAAATAATAGACCAGATGGCGTTTAAAGTCTGTTTTAGGGTGTTTTATGTGGGGCATCGGGGCTGTGCGCGGATATGCACAGAATGTACCAGGTCTGAAGTTTTTAGCGCAGGCTGTGGAAAATGAAGGGCTGGGTGTAGGAAGGCATGCCTCTCTTTATGTTTCTCAACAGTTCAGTAGCTGAGAGTAACTAGATTAAAAAAACAAAAAAAAAACTGAAGGTTTTTTAGAGTTAATCACAGTAAGTAGGCCTGCTGTTCATTCCTCTAAAATTTTGAAGTTATTCTCTTTATTTTGTGTTTATTCTTTATGATTTACTTTAGTCTGTTTGTTTGTTTCAGGTTAATAGATATTTTAGGTCCATCTTTGCCATTTCAGCTCTGAGGAAAGCTCCGACAAACCGCTAAATAGGAGAGGAAAGCAGTTAGTGATCACGCTCCATAATGAACTGGTCGTTCCTCCAGGACCTGCTCAGCGGGGTGAACAAGTACTCCACTGCCTTTGGCAGAGTGTGGCTGTCTATTGTGTTCCTCTTCAGGGTCATGGTGTTTGTGGTGGCAGCTGAAAAGGTGTGGGGGGACGAGCAGAAAGACTTTAAATGCAACACAGCTCAGCCAGGATGCCACAATGTTTGCTACGACCACTTCTTCCCCGTGTCCCATGTCAGGCTGTGGGCTCTACAGCTAATATTTGTCACCTGCCCTTCGTTCCTGGTGGTGATGCACGTGGCCTACAGGGAGGACAGAGAGCGGAAGAACAAGGAAAAGTACGGTGAAAAATGCCGGCGTATCTACCTGAACACCGGGAAGAAGCGCGGAGGCCTGTGGTGGACCTACGTCCTCACTCTGGTTTTCAAAGTAGGGGTCGATGCTACCTTCGTCTACCTTCTCTACCACATCTACGAAGGCTACCACTTCCCCTCGCTCATCAAGTGCACGCAGGATCCATGCCCCAACACAGTGGACTGCTTCATCTCACGGCCTACTGAGAAGAGGATCTTCACCATCTTCATGGTGGTCACCAGCCTGGTCTGCATCGTGCTCTCCATCATCGAGATTGTCTACCTGGTAGGAAAACGCTGCGGGGAGGTCATCCATGGGGATCATCGCTCTAACCGCACCATAACCAACACACTGTCCGGGAGCAGCGTGGTAGAATCGAACGCTCTGAAGCATGCAGGGAAAAACACACCTGAAACACCGGCACCCTCATACAGTGTCGCAGTTTCATGAAGAAAACGACAGCAAAGGGGTTTCAAAAGAATGTAAAGACTGGGAAGAAGCAAAGCTGGCACTCCTTGCTCCTTTAAGAGACTCATTGATATACATCTACTTCCTCAAAGACTGAATTTCTAAGTAGGGGTTGAGTTTCTAGACCAGGTTATATTTGTAAAGCTGTTGTTATTATGAAATAATGACCATTAATAGAAAAAAAAAACTCTATGGTTCTTTTGAACGAAGAACAAACAGTGTCTGACTTAGCTTTGACATCAGAAGCATGAGTCACCCCTCGGTTTGGCAAGTTTTACCAGCACATGTGGTTTCTATGGGGGAGATTTTTTCCTTAGCCTAAGCCCAACCTCAAATGTTCAGCCTGAGTTTTCCCCTTTCAGCCAGAGCCTTATGCTGGGCTCTTTTCAGACATGTTGTGTCATGATTTACTTACTGTTTCATACAGGGAGACGGGGGGGAACAAATATGTGTTTGTACTTTTAAACACAGCTGATCAGGTTGTGCATATATACAGTGCTGATTTCTCAACTCACTTAATATTTGTTAATATTTTGTAATAAATATTATTTTATGTTTTAAAAGGCTTCTTTTTTCATTGTTTGAACCGAATGTAAGAGTCAAAAGAGCTGGGAGCGGGCTAAAGGGCAATGTAAACCATCCACCCTTTCTTTAAAAGAAGGATTTGTTGACTCTGCATTGGCATGTGGTTGAGCAAAGATCTCAGCCTTCCTTTTTTACCCTTCTTTCATGTGTTTAATAAAAAAAAACCCAGCTCCCATTGGTCAGGGTAATTATTCTGTTGCCAGGCGCTTTTATTGTTTTGGCAGATTGCTACGTTGGGGATGAAAAAGGAGGGGCTGCCCACTCCTTTAGTTTGATTCATCTCGTACGAGTGGTTCCACCCACCGCTGGAATCCATTTATCCACACAGCTTTTCTTTTTTTACCATACTGTAGTTGTGCTACGTGTCGAGGCAGTGATGCAGTAGAGGCAGGAGGGCATAAGTAACGCTCTCCTTATTTGCCTTGCTACGGTTCTAAAAATCCTCTGTTCACCCTGGCAGAACCCCCACTGACAGAATGGTATATACAAAAGTAAAGCAGTCAAATTGCTTTCTACAAACATAAAATAGATTAACTGCAGGCACCCCTCGTTATTGTTCACTGGAAACTTTGAGTGTAGAAAGGCAATCGTCCAGCTTACAGAGTCTTTAGAAACTATATTTCTGAAATATTTTGGAAATTCAATTTAGTTTATTTATATTGCACCAATTCACAACACATGTCATCTTTACACTTTACAGTTCACCAGATTATACAGTCAAATTGATTCAAAGTTTTCTATCTAAGGAAAATCAGTTGATTGCATCGACTCATTGACTTGAATGCAATCCCTCACACTAAGCATGCCTGTAGCAACAGTGGAGAGGAAAAACTCCCTCTCAACAGCAAGAAACCTCCAGCAGATCCAGGCTCAGTGTGAGCGGCCATCTGCTGAGGCCTACTGGGGTTCAAGGAGACAGAAGCAGAAATATAAAAAGCAGCTGTAAAAGGCGGCCCCGCCCAGGAAACACACAACCAGGCAGACGAGCTCCGAGCCAGCTCCCATGTAAGTGGATGAAGAGAGCACATCCAGCCGGTCACAGTCAGAGAAACAGGACTACACTGGAAAAACAGGCTGATCTCCAACATCTGTAAACAAAGGTGTTGATGGCAGCAGCACAGCTGATATTTCTCTCCAGGATGATGTCACAGCCAAACAATACCACAGTCCACTAAAACATACATCTATCCATCTTCTCCCACTTTCTCCGCCTTCTCCATCAGTCTACAGGTAAAAGGCAGGGTACAGCATGGACAGGTAACCAGTCCCTGCAGGGCAAAAACATCCATGAAAACTAAAAATAAAGACAGTAAAGCATGGTGGTGGTTGCAACAGGCTGTGGAAAAGCTTTTCTTCAACAGGAAGAGGCATACTGGTCCAAGCTGATGAGGTGAATGGCACGAAGCACAGGGACACACTGGCTGGGGTTTACTTTCCAGCAGGACTAGCATAATCATATGACAAGAACAAAAGCTAAAGGGTTTAAATCAAGGAAGTATGTATTGGCATAGTTCAGTGAAACTTCACACTTATATACACCTGCAAATCGAAATAAATAAATATACTGTAGAAGACAAACACCTATCCCTAAGTCTTTGCCAATTCTGCAATCTGTGCCAGAGTGCTTATGTTTTTAGGAACCAGAAGGTCCATCTTCCTAAACACCTTCCAATTCAGACTCAAATCAATGATTAACCTCATCCTCACCTTCTTGGGTCTGGATAAACCTGTGAGTCTATGGTAGAGTCCTGCACGGGTCGAGTTTTACCAACCCGCACCCGCCCAAACCCGTTAGGATGACTACCGGACCCGACCCGTCACCCGCGGATTTCTTCGATTCAAATCCGAACCCGACCCGACCCGACCCGACCCGTTGATATTTAACCCGCAACCCGACCCATTAACACATCAAGTAATAGGCTATAGTACGCTGCGCTGCAGAACAGCGCCATTAACACTGCAGCAGACGTGTATGCACTGACTGTGGCCTTTTTGGAGGGAAGCCCACACTGCCGGCAAGGCTTTAAGCTACAACAAGGGTGACCCCAGTGCCTGATTAATATAACATTTCTGATGTCCATAACAACACACACGCATCAAAAAAAAAATCACCAACTACCCGCCCGCACTAAAAAAATATCCGCCGTCCCCCGACCCGTTTATTTTTATTTATGTATTTTTGACCTGCAAAAGAGCATTTTAGCGGGTGACCCGTCGGGGACCCGTGGGCAAAGACTCGAGGATAGGTGTGAGAATGTTTTCAGAAAACCTGAGCAAAAGTCTGGTTGCCTCAGATTTAGGCCTGTTTCGTGGTTGCTATGACTGGTTAGATGAATGATCATTTTCAGGGAAACCATTAAAAATAAATGCTAAGGCAAACTGCTTATGCTATTTTTCAAAGAAGAATTACCACCGCTTTATTACACAAAGTTTTTAGATACTCCACAAAGTACCTGAAGGTAGATATTGGTTGAATGGGATAATTGTACTTAAAAAAAAAAATGTATGTGGAAATATTTGCTTAATATGAGTTTATATTCAGATTTATCCACTACTTTTCTGTATTCGAACCAGAAAAATGTAGGTATATATATATATATATATATATATATATATATATATATATATATATATATATATATATATATATATATATATATATATATATACACAAAATCTAGTTCTGAAAAGAGAATTAATTCTGTACTTATCATCTTTAATGTTAGTTTATTGATGTGCATAATAAACCACAGTGTTTTTGCTGTCAAGTAATTGTGAATAAATAAAAAATGTAAATGTTTTGAACATTCCACCTGAGAGTATTACTGCTGCCATCATCTGTATTAGAGGGAAGAAAATGGTAGGGTTGGCCACCCCTGGCTCTGCCATCTAGCTCTGCCCCTGCACAGAGGCACTCATCATGGCTGCACAGGAGCAGGCAATAGGCACCAGAGCAATAGAGGCCCAGATCTACCACACCAGACAAGACTGTAAAGAGGCCCCTGAGACAATCCAGCACATAACTGTAGGATGCAAGATGCTGGCAGAGAAAGCTTACATGTTGCGCCATAACCAAGTGTCTGGAATAGTACACAGGAGCATCTGTGCGGAGTATGGGCTGGAAACCTTAAGGTCAAAGTGGTAAATACTTCCAAAGACAGTAGAGAATGACCAAGCCAAGATCCTGTGGAACTTCCAGATACAGATGGACCGAATGGTAATGACAAACACACCAGACATTATGGTGGTGGACAAAAAGCAGAGGAAAGCAGTTGTGGTTAACATAGCAATACCAAGTGACTGCAAGGATCAGGATAAAGGAACATGAGAAACTAAAAAAATACCAGGGGCTCAGAGAAGAGCTGGAGAAAACCTGGAAGGTCAAGGCATCAGTGGTAGCCGAGGTGCTGGGTCCATCTGGGGGCATTGACCCCTAAACTGGAGGAGTGGTTTAGGGGTCAGACATCTTGGTCCAGAAGAGTGCAGCAAAGATACTGTGCAGAACCCTCAAGCTCTCAGGCCTCTAGAGGACCTGAGCTGGGAGGAAAAAAGGGGGGAAGACTGTCATTTGACCAGAGGTTTGGGATCTTGAGGGTTCTTCTAAGTATTTTAGCTCTCTCTAGAACTGTCCATTGCTGAACTGAGATCTCTGTTGTTTCTCCAGGGATATGTTGGAGCCACTTTTCCAGCGTAGGAGTTACAGCCCTTTGTGCTCCCATGACCGCAAGACTTATGACTGCTTTCCCCTTCCAGAATCTCTGTAGTTCTTTCCTGAGGGCTTGGTATCTTTTTCAATTTCTCATGCTCTTTTTTCCTGATGTTTCCATCACTAAATAAATCACTACAGCTGTCATCATCCTCTGCTGTTTATAAATCATAATAATGTTCATCTGGTTGGCCATTACCATTTTGTCTGTTTGTATCTGGAAGTCCCACAGGATCTGAGCTCTGTTATTCTCCGCCACCTTGGGAGGTGGCTCCCATTTTGACCTGCAGATCTCCAGTTTGTATTCTGCATGGTTGTTTTTATTCTCTAAACCAGCCACTTGGTCATTAAGTTCTATGTATCCCCTTCCTGCCAGAAGCTTACGCCCTGCTATAAGTTGGATTGTTTCTGGGGCCTCTTCCCACTGCCTTCACCTGGAATCTTGTCTGATTTGGTAAATCAGGGTCTCTATTACTTTGGTCCTCAAGGCCTGCTCCTGTTCTGCCATGATCAGTACTTCTGTGGTGTCCTTCAGCCCCGCTCTCTAGCTATTGGTAGGATTTAGTCATATCAGCCAATGTTTGTCAGTGGTGCATCCAATGCAGGGGTATTTCCTCCCATGATGGTTCCTTTTCTTCCATCTTCCCATTACATTCAGTGACGCTTAATCCCTTGGGGCCATCATCCTGATGTATTCTCAGAGCTTTGATGTTTCATCTTCAATGGTGGCTCTGATATTCACTAGGCTTCTGACTCCTTCTTTTGGCTTAGTGTATAGTTTGTGGATACTGGATTTGGGCTGGAATTTATGCATGGTGAGTAGCTTTCGTGTTTTAACATCAGCGGCCTGAATTTCCTCCTTAGGAAAACTTGTTATTCATCTGATTACTGGCAAGACAAAGCTGTTGATTGGACCTTGTACTCAGCATTGAACTGGCTTCTCAGAACTTGTCTTACTTGTTGAAGGTAATTGGCTGTTGCTGATTTCCTTGTAGCCCCTAATTTTAGTTCAGGAGCTGCATTAGGCTTGTTCTCTTTGCTTATTTTTATATACTTTTGTTTAAATGTACATTTTTTCAAAATCAGTATCCTGATTTCCATTTTTTATAAGTAGATTTTATTATTTATTTTTATACATTTTTATGTATTTTATGGGCAGCTGATTTTTTTTTTTAATCTCTAAATGACATAAATATACATATTTATAAAATGGTGTGAAACTGTCTGATTGGCATATATAATTTGATGTGTGTGTACAAGGTTGTTAGTTCC